CAAGGATGACTCTAGGATTTTGACACTATCAACAAGAGAGCGGGGTTTGCCAACACTGGATTTGAAGAATTTGTTAAGAGCAAATTTAGAGAGGAGTTTTTGGATTCAGTTTTGACGTTAGAAATATTAGAAATAAAAGGAGGAGGGGCGCCTGGGTGGCGCAGTCGGTTAAGCGTCCGACTTCAGCCAGGTCACGATCTCGCGGTCCGGGAGTTCGAGCCCCGCGTCGGGCTCTGGGCTGGTGGCTCGGAGCCTGGAGCCTGTTTCCAATTCTGTGTCTCCCTCTCTCTCTGCCCCTCCCCCATTCATGCTCTGTCTCTCTCTGTCCCAAAAAATAAATAAACGTTGAAAAAACAAAAAATTAAAAAAAAAAAAAAAAGAAATAAAAGGAGGATGTTTAAAGAAGATTTGGGTGCTACTTTATGTTTCAGGAATAGCAGTGAGGCTGGTGTGGTTGGAGGGCAGTGAGTAAGAGATGGTCTTTAGAAGATAAGATCTGAGAAGAGCCAGGGGCTTTTGGATTTTATTGTGAATAAGATAAAAGGGCATTGAGAGTTAGGAAGAGAGAGGGAACAGATTAGATCTATAACCGAAAAGGATTACTGTTTTCTTGGGCTAGATATTTAAATATGGTATGCCTCATTTTCTTATGGGAAGAAGAAAGTAAATTCATTTATTTATTACAAAAATAATAATTGACTTAGAAGATAATATATTAATATCACCATTTTTTAAAAATGTAATGACATTGTTATCCATGGACATAAGCAGTGACCCAGTAAATGAAACTCTAAATGAAACCAGTTGGTGGGCCTATTCAAAATCATAGAGAAACTCTAAAAGTAATTCAGTATTTTTACCTTAATAGTTCTTAAAAAAGTTGATTTTTGTTTTTATGTAATAATATCAGACATGTAACAGCTGGTGTGGGTGTCTTCATTTTCATGTTGCTTTAGTGAGTATTAAGGAATATCAAGTCTTGAATCTTAAATGTGAAATTGATAAATATGTGAAAGGTTCATATAATTTTTCTAGGTCAAGTAAAATGGCATTTTACATAAGGATTATAAGAAATGATTGCAAGTATTGATTAACTACAGTTATGTCAAAGCAATTAAATATCTTAGACTGTAAGATGATGCATTCAATAAAATTTATTATGATTTGTATAGGTTGTGATAAGTTTTATCATTTGTACAGTTTGGTGAACTGAAAAACAAAAGTTCATGGTTACAAAATTCTGTAGCTCCTCTCATGAGGGGGTGGCATCTATTTCCACACCCCTCCAATGTGAGCTGATCTTGTGACTTGGTTTGGCAAACAGAATGGGGCAGATAAAGCTAGGTTCTTAAGAGGACTTTGAGTTGCCCTTATTGCCCTGAGACAGTAAGGAAGATGGTTTAGTCTATTTGAGGATAAGTGGTCACATGGAGAAAAACCAAGCCAGGCACACAGACAACGACGAACACTGGCCATTTGTCACAGGATTGAGGCCATCTTGGACCTTTCATTCTAGCCAGACTTCTAGTACAATGAGCCACGTGAGCAAGCCTAAGAAAACCAGGGAAACTTCCCATGTAACACAGAATTTATCATGTGAAATGATAAATTTTTAGTGTTTTAAGCCATTGAGTTTTGGGCAATTTGTTATTCAGTGATAAAAAACTGAAACGCATGAATGAAATACTTTTTGGAGTTTGCATATATTATCTGAGTATGGTTTAACCAGGTGTTTTTTGGTTCATTTAGCAGTTAGTTAATCAGTGCCTACCAAGCACTTTGTGCTCAGTGCTCTAGGAAATAAAAATGTACAGTTTAAATAGTGTCAGTAGGGTAAATAATAGTTGAGTTGGGATAATAAGTATTAAACTCTAAAAATTGGTATTTGTATAAGACATGAACTCATAAGCTCTCAGAATTCAGCAGGAACTTCTGGAATTTCTTGAAATTGAGATTCAATAAAGTCTATGAGGGAGCTTCATTTTTGAGCTAGGGTTCAAAAAATAGGAATTGTAGTAGGTGTTGCAGGAAGAGGGCTCTCAGTTGAAGGGAATGGATTAGGCAAAAGTAGAAATAGAGGGTAAGGATTATATACTATGATACGTATACGATGTAAATAGTAAGTGAAAGGGAGATAAGTTTGAGAAAACACAGATTAGATCCAGATGCTAGAGTCTAGTTAATTCTGTATGTATCACATATCTATTATCAAATAACAAGTCACCTAAAGAGGAGTGCCTTAAAACAGCATAGTTTGTTGTCTCTCACAATTCTGTGGTTGGTAACTAGGCAGTGTTTCTCCTGATCTCACCTTCAGTACTCTTGGCTTCAGTCATGTGATGGCCTGACAGGAGTTGGAGCATCCAAGGTGGCCCTACTCTCATGTCTAGCAGTTGGTGCTGGCTGTCAGCTGGGACATTTTGGTTTTTTCCACATGACCTGTAAGCCTTCAGTAGATCGTACCAGTCCGCTTCATAGAATTGTAGTCTCAGTCTTCTAAGATGGTGAGAACAAGAGCTTCAGGATCTTCTAAGATCCACACTCTGTGACCACACAGCATCACTTCTATAGTATTCTGTTGGTCAAAACAAGTTATTAGGCCATTAAAATGTAAGGACGTGGAGAACTAGTTTTCGCTTTTGATGGGAAGTACAGCAATACCACACTGCAAAGGGGTATGAACATAGGAAGACTTGATTTACTGGCATCTATCATAATAATCTATCACACCATGAATTAAAGAGTGTTGTTAAATAGTAAGAATCCAATGGCTGTTTTGAACCTGAGATTGGCGTATGTGTATGTAAGCTTTGTTTAAGAATGTGAATATGGCCCTTATGAATAGGTCATTTTAAATATGAGAGCAAACTGAAGAGCAGGAAGTAAGAGTAGGGGACTTTTCTAGTAGTTTAGGGGAAGATAATGTTTGAATTACAAAATGGACATTTTTATCTATAAGCAGGAATTGACATTTAATGTGTAGTTATGCAAAATATAGTAAGCCTTCACATTTGAATTTTTAAAGATGTATAATTTATCTTCACTTTTATTTTCTACTATAGTATAAAAGATAAGTATAAATTGTTTACATTTTCAAATATATATTATTGTAAATAAAATAAAAAACCTAATCCACAAAAATGTTTGTTATCAAACAGTTGTTCTCTTTGGTTATGGTAAGATTTTATCTGAATAGTATTATAATTAGCTTGACTATTATACTGCATAGGGGCAGCTGAGCAAATAGCCTGATACAAATGAACTCATGTGACCTGGCAGGCAGCTCACAGAAAATTCCTAAGCATAGAACAAGGGCAATTTTTACATTCTGAAAACCTGGAGTTAAAAAAAGAAAAAAAAAAAAAAAAGAAGGGGCACCTGGGTGGCTCAGTAGGTTAAGCGACTGACTTTGGCTCAGGTCATGATCTCATGGTTCGTGAGTTCAAATCCTGCATTGGGCTCTCTGCTGTCAGTGCAGAGCCCGCTTAGGATCCTGTTTCCCTCTCTTTCTGCCCCTCCCCCGCTCAGTCTCACTCCTCTCTCAAAAATAAATGAAAATATTTTTTAAAAAAAGGAAAAGAAGAAAAGAACAGTTTCTGCCTCAGCAGTAAAATGGTATGAAGTACTCTAGGCTTTCTCTTCTGTCCCTTGATTTAACTACTTGTGTGTTTACCCAACTACCTAACTATCCACCTGCGTATTCTCTGCCTTAGAAAAATAAAACAAAAAAATATTTAAGATAATTAAACATGTTTTGTATGTAACTTAAATAAATAAGAAAATTATCTTAAAAGGATAGAAAAGGAATTTCTTGAATTTAAATATTGAGTACTATTTATTCATGGTCGCCAAAATCACGCTATGTCCGCTCGTTGTGCATAGGGGTTGGAATGAGTGTCCAAAAGTAAACACAGATTGTTTTGGACAGATTTGTAGAGGAATAATTTACATGCCTTATAGTGCACTCATTTTAAGTGTAAATACCAACCATTTTAAATGCATTTACAGAGTTCTGCAATCATCACCACATTCCCGTTGTAGAACATTTTCTATTACTCTATTCCCACCATCAGCCCCAGGCAGCCACTGGTCTGCTCTGTTTCTCTTTTCTGGGCATTTTGTATTAACAGTATCATAAAGTCTGTAGTCTTGTACATCTGTCTTCTTTCACTCAGCATGTTTTTGCGATTTATCCATATTGTAACATGCATCAATACTTGTTTTTTTCCCCCTTGCTGAATCATATGCCATCATACACTGATTTATGTTACAGATATGATTTATGAGAGATATGACTTATATTTCCAAAAATGTACAATATATATGTTTATTTCATAGTGTCACCATGCCTTTTATTTATTTATTTTTATTTTTAGTATTATTATTTTTTTAGCCTGTAGTTGGGCTATTTTTAATGCTATTTTAACCATTTTACTTTGGGGACATCTTGTAACAATTTCTATGCTACTCTCTGACTTAGCTTTGTACAGATGGTGATCTCTTGAGAGTGAGTTGGCACCTGTTAAAGCCTCAAACCTTTCATGTATACATGAAACACACACACACACACACACACACACACACACAATATACACACATATTATACAATAAGATAGCTTCCTGTAAAAAAAAAAAAAGGCTATCACTCTTTTACAGGGAATAAATTTAGCAATTTCTGTCTCTATGTTCCCTGGCATGCATTCAAAATGTCTGTGTAAGTCAGCCATGAAATTCAGTCTATTCCTTTTACATTCTACTCAGGTATACTCTGTGATATTTTGGCTACAACTTTTGATTATTAATAAAAATAATATTATATTTGGTTAATTACGTAAAAACTTAAAAATTATGTTTTCATGAGAAAAAATATATTTTGTACAATATAAGATTCCAACTCACTGAATGTGCTTTATGTAATGTGCTTTGGCTTTCAAAAGAATAATAAGAAATAATGTGCCCAATTTAAAAGTTTTAATTTTAATGCACATTTGTTTCCTTAGCATTTGTGGAATCCAACATCTTGAACGGATAGGAAAGAAGCTGAATCTCTTTGACTCCCTTTATTTCTGCATCGTGACATTTTCTACTGTGGGCTTTGGGGATGTCACGCCTGAAACCTGGTCCTCTAAGCTTTTTGTTGTTGCCATGATCTGTGTTGCTCTTGTGGTTCTACCCATACAGGTAAACACAGCCAGGTTAAGTTTTATAGAAATGTATAAAGCCTTATAAAATGAAATCTTCCATGCTTAGAATGAAATGTGGGCGGTTTATTAATCTATTAACACATGTTATTATTGTATCTAGTCAATTAATTAAAATGGCCTCAGGAAATTCCTTTTCACATTATATTAGAAACTGATTTTTTACCCCTATTCACGAGTGATAAAGCTCACATCTCATTCCAGTTCTTGAAGATGTTTCTTTTATATAGAGGGTATTTAACTTGTTAATTATAAGATCACAGGATTTAGTTGTAATTATAGAATGATAGACCAAGGAAATAAACTTACGAAGGTTTGATTTCTTTTGATTCTTGAAATAATATAAAAGCTGAACATTGTAGTAAGTAAAAATGGATTGCATTTATTGGTCAACTAAAACAAAATCTGAAGATGATACATAAATATTATGCAACGTTTTGGGAGTGGATAAGGTGGTCGCAAAGGGACAGAGGTATAAAAGGAGACTAAAGATGAGTAGATGTGATCTGCAACTCGTTCTTACAGTGAGCTTTTGGGTGCCTGTGGGTGAGCAGGTTAGAAATAAGATATGGCAAATACAAATCAAATTTGTATCTTCCATTACAAACCCTTGGCCACAGTTTATCTAAGTATACTTTATGTAGGTATGAAAAAGATCTTCCCACTCCTGTTCAACCATGCGTGTATTCCTTCCTGACATCCCTCCTCTATTCCATCTACTTCCCTTACATACCAACTGCTGCTATGCAACTAGAATGTGGCCGTGTGTGTTGGGTATCTCTCATTGCATGAGATGTGTGCTGAACTTGGTAGAAAAATGTAGAAGAAATGCCATTGAGGTTTTTCTCTTTGATGCAGGGCATGGCACATCATGGCTGCCTGCTTTCCTGGGCATAAAGCAGAGGCACAAACCTTTTAGTGTTAGTAATATAATAGGAAATTCATATTAATATGTTTCTATAGAGACCTGAAACACCCAAGAAGCATTAGCGACCTCTGCAGCAATCACATGAAAAGTCTGTTATTGAAGGGAATGTGGATAATTTGAATCTCAATGAGTTCCATCTAAGAAATTGAGTATATCTAATAAACAATGGATGTATTGCATTGGTTTTTATTTTCATGCCTAGTGTTTTTCATTCATATGTGGAAAATGCATTACAGTTTGAACAGCTGGCCTATTTGTGGATGGAGAGACAAAAGTCAGGTGGAAACTATAGTCGACATAGAGCTCAAACTGAGAAGCATGTTGTTTTGTGTGTCAGTTCACTGAAGATTGATTTACTTATGGACTTTTTAAATGAATTCTATGCTCACCCAAGACTTCAGGTACATTAAAATTATGTTATGCATTTTACTGGATCATACCTAACATATTGTCAAAGTCAATTAACTGAAGGTGCAGCCTGCATTCTGGAAGATTTTATTTATATGCTCCAATTTAGAAAGAGTAAATGAAGAACTACAAATATAACCGGGAACATAGAAAAAATGCTTAAAGAATACACAGTATTTTAAGTTTCCTTCTGTATCTACACTAAAAGACAGATGGAATTATGTTAATGCTACAGAGAAAGGTTTTCTTTGAATTAAAAGGATTGTTTTTTTTCTCTTTTGGGTAATGTATAAATGATATTTTTATGAAACAGTGAAATTTAAAATAAAATATAAAACAATGAAAAAGTAATTTCACAGTATCATCTACTTGAAAATATCAAAAATTTTATCAAGTGTTGCTGATAGAAATGTAGAAGTCTGAAATTTCCATTTTTTCCTTTGTTTCCTAGAATGTAACTAGGTCGTATAGTAGCAATGAATCACCAAAAATTGGACAATAACTGGCTGAATTGAGAACACTAATTCAGAAAAAAAAATCTCTTCATCTGTCTATGCAGATAAAATCTTCAGATACTTTTCCACTTGCCATGGTAGTGGGCCAGTGTAGATTTAGGTAATCTCCTTTCCTGCTTAATGCACTTAATTTAGGTCAAACAGGAAAGAGCTACTTGAATGTCTTGTATTTCCTCAGTCAAGTTGTCAAGAGGTTGGACAATCTTAAGGTCAAGACAGTACTGAGTACAGTTCTAATTAGATCTCCCTTAAATTGACTTTTGGAGAACTTAAAAAAATTTTTATTATTTATTTATTTGTGTGTGAGAGAGAGACAGAGTGTGAGTGGGAGTGGGGTAGAAAAAGAGGAAGGCACGGGTTTGAATCCATGAACCATGAGATCATGACTTGAGCTGAAGTTCAGCCCTTAACCAATTGAGCCACTCAAGTACCCCACACTGGAGAACTTTTAAAATACTTAAAAAAATATTTTTAAAAATGCAATTTATAAGTCATACTTAAATTACATGATACATTCTTTTGTTTTCATATAATTTGCATTTTTCAAGAAATACCATATTTATTCTTATTATTATGCATATTAAATAATTACAGGTTTTCTCTTTATAACCCATAAAGAAAATCTATTTTGGGGAAAATTTGAAGCCCCAAATTTTGATATATAGTAATTTATTCTGATAAATATCAATATGGAGAGTTCTCAAAACTGCCCAGATTTCTACCAGATATATTTTAGAGGATAAAATGGTGAATGTTTACCACAGAATTGTAATTCCTATAACCTGTGTATTAAACTATTTTATCACTCAGAATACCTTTGTGTTTTCTCCAAAGGACCATTATTTTGAAATACATGATCTTAAACTGTTAAATTTACTTTGTATTATCAATATTCTTATGAATCCTTATCCATTCAGATATTCATCAGAGATTTTTCATTATTATCAATAAATAATAATATGACCAAATGATATAAATCACCATCATAGTTTTTCAAACAGTAAGTAACAGTTTGAAGTATGAATTGATTTTTAAGCACCTCTTCCCTGTGTGTATCGTATATTTTAGAATTAGCCTGAAGTTATTACTGAAAACTTCATAGGCTGGAAATGTATACATAGTAAGCACTGGTTACTTTCTCTTCATGGTACTAATGAGACTGAAAAAGATCAGGATTATTGTATTTTTTTTTATGTGATTTTTATATGTCTCAGTTATGTTTATTATAGTGTCATGTTAATTAATACATGCCCAGGTTTTAAATGCAGATTTTTAATTACTAGTGAAAGTTTATTTCTCTTGCACTGTATTTCTAAATGTTCTTAGACATTCTGTTTACTTATGTAATATAAAACACAGCATTATTGATTTCATCCTATTGCCCATTTTATTTTGAACAGGATTATTATGTGGTGATTTTGTGTCCTACTGAAATGGATGTGCAAGTTCGGAGGGTACTGCAGATTCCAATGTGGTCACAAAGAGTTATCTACCTTCAAGGCTCAGCCCTTAAAGATCAGGATCTGTTGAGAGCAAAGTAGGTATCCCTATCTATTTTCCATCTTGCAATACTTTAATATCTTTTCTCTCCTCCAAATTTTAGCGGTTTTCTTCTTGAAAGGTGTATTTAAGTACTTTTGAATACAGGGTCTTGCCTTTATCCTACTGCTGGTCAAATTGAAAGGTTAAAAATATAAAACCAGTGTTTTGCTCCTCTTTCTCAGTGCGAGGATATTCAGTGGACCGTGTTCACACAACACAATAAGGGTGTGGCATGGTGTAATTAGCTGAGTTATCCAGACCCACTGTTAGAGTAGTCTCTGAATCCTTGAATACTGTTTTTATTCCACAAATAAAAATCTTGTGCCAAACATTATGTGAAATGCCAAAGCAGTTTGAGTCACGGTTTAAATTTTTAGAGTTTGTATTATATAGTGGGCAGATGACACTTCTGTTGCCTGGTGTTAGAGTTGTCCCTGGGGGCTGGAGGAATCAGAAGAGTAACTGAGTCTTAGTTGCTCTTTTCCTGTTGCACATGTGCTAGCCAGCCTCGCTTAAAGGTGACATAGGCATAGGCATCTGTCACAAATCATGGGGTCGTTCCATATAAGCAGAGTGAAAGCATGGTTGGGCAGACCATGGACACCAGGGAGTCAGGGCATCTGCAAACAATACCCATAGCTTCAGAAGCCAGAAGAAATCTTTAGCAGAGGTGGTTTTGCTCCATGTTTTTTGTTGCTTTTAAAGTTTTAAACATGTCTTTGTTGGGGAGGAAAAAATATCTTGTCCCTTTCTAGGTCCTTCTAGCTGGACTAAGAATCAAATTGACAAGAGACAGATTAACAAGAGAAAATCAAATTTAATAGTTCATGTACAGGGAATCCATACGGATGTGGAACTTTCAAAGATAGTTAGGCAAAAGGAGGTATATATGTCATTCTGAACTAAGGAGAAGGGGTAGACGAGAAGGGGTAGAGGTCTTCCAAGGGAAGGAAAATAATTTACAGGAAGATGAAAAAGAATAATTAATTTGGTAAGCATATGTTTGCTGGGCCACTCAGAGAGAATGGGACATGGAAAATTTTGATCAAACAGGCCTTGCTAGGTTCCTCCCTCCCTATCCTACCTAGCTTATATCCTAAGGTAGTTATCTATGGTGATAGCTCTCTTCCTGGAGCAGATTTTCTCATCTAATCTAAATTCTTCTTAGGCAGTGAGGAGGGAGATAAAGACCTTTTCCTGAATCTGCTGGGTTTTGATTGCTTTTTAGCTTAAAATAGTCTTCATGCCAAAGTGGCCCATCTTGGGGTGGCCTGCCCTTGGATCCTACATCTACATATTTATCCTTGAGTTGTCTTACAAAGTCTTTTAAATGTGTCTCCTCACTGAATTTTAGAGCATACGTTTTTTTTTTTCTTTGTTGTTGTTGTTTTATTTTTTTCTGGCTGTCTTGGTACGTGTGTTAATGGGTATGGGTGTGTTTGTGCATGTTCTGTGTGTGTGTACGTGTGTGTGTGTGGTGTGTATGTGTATGTGTGTGCAGGATGGTGATGGAAAAGAACAGAAGAAAATTCTCAAACTCTTTTTTGCTACATACTCCTGCAAGTTGATGACTAGATATTTTGTAACTGGAACTTTGACATTACTTTTGATTTAGATGCAACAGGTCACTTAAAGTGAGATCTTCAATGATTTAATACCTTCTGAAACAAAAAAGTTAGTAGAAACTATCAGGATATAATGAATGGTGCATAATTAGGAAATTTAGTTTCTTTGAAAATATATTAGTTTTTTTGGCGGATTAAATACTTCATAGTTGTCACTGTACGTACAGTAGTTAAGTCAGATTCTCCCAGTACCTCAAGTAAAAGATGACTTTAGGTGTTTGCTATTTGCTATCTAAATGCATTATTTGGGAACTCTAAAAAAATAGTTGCTTAGGCACTAACATAACTTGGATCTTTATATTCATCTGCATCGGTAATCAATATGTTTATTTTATTGTATACATTAAGTTCTTCACATAAGAATAATTCCCATATTATGTTCACTATGAATTTATGTGATAAATGAAGCCTTTTCATTATGTAATAAAGTAAGCTCTTAGAATTATCTGGTAGTATTTTAGCTTAATACTATAGAAAGTAGCAGAATTTGCTGCCCCCAAATGTGCCTCCAAGGCAGGATTATCACAAGCTGGTTATTTTTAAGGAAACAGTAGACTTAGGAAAAACTGAAAGCCAAGTAGAAGTTAACCCTTTTTGTAAGGGATATTTACATTTGTGAGGAACATCTCAATCCATAAGGCTGGCTCCCCCTCAGTGCCTGGAAGAGGAGGATAACTCCATCTCTGGAAATTTTTGTGAATGAGAAGGCAAAGACCTAAATCTGCCTAACAATCTTACCCTTGTTTACTGTGCTCTCCTGATAGGTCCCATATCTGGTTCCCCCTACCTTTAGCCAAACATCTTTTGTCTTTAGCTGAAGAAGGAGTTTAAGGTGGTGGCCTCATGGGAGAGGAGTTAATAGTTTTCCTTTGTGTCTCCCACTTGTACCTTATACAGAAAGTATATGTGTTATTAAACTTGTTTGTTTTTCTTCTGTTAATCTGTCTTTTTATTACAGAAGGGGTCTCAGCCAAGAACCTAGAAGGGTAGAGGGAAAATTATTTGCTTATATATTTATTAATTTCACAATTTAGAATTAGCATAATTCATTTATTATTAATAGTATTAAAATGATTTCTCAGCAAAATCAACCACATTTACAAGAATCATTCATTCATTGGAAATTAAAAAGGATGATAGTGAGGATGAGAGAGGTAGCAGGCTGGTAATACTAAAAAATCTGGGTTAAGAAAGAAGTATTCATTTTATGTTCATTTCTTATCCTAATGTCATATAAAGATTTGGGATTTAATGTTAACTAATAATTCTTCAACACAATTTCCCATGCAAGAAACAAGGAGTAGGATTCTCCAAACCAGTTCCAAAGGTCAGTTGCATGAATTTTGAATTGCTTTGTTGAAGATGATGTTTTGAAAATGTTATGCAATACTCATTATCTTATAACCATGGCTTAGTATTTTTCCAAAACTGTTTGGTTTGGTCTAATTTCATGGACTTTTCTCTTTTCGCTGCATAGAAAATATAATTTTTGGGAAGGGGGGAAGGTTTATTTTATCATAATGAACCAAAAAGACAAAACATTTCTTATTTTGAAATTAACGTTTTGATGTTTTTATTTTTTTTAAGGATTTTTAAAAAAATTTTTAAGTAATCTCTACACACAATGGGGGGCTTGAATTTACAACCCCTGAGATCAAGAATCGCATGCTCTAGGAACTGAGCCAGCCAGGCACTCCAACATTTTTAGGTTTTTAGAACATTATTCATCAAGCACTGAAACATACCATTTACCACCAAATTTAAGAAATGTAGAACTTTAGCATAAGGGACAGTGGTTTGGAACAAGATGATGAATCATCTCCAAGAAATGTAAATGTATAGTAGAGTTTGACTTAAGAATACTAATTAGCTCTGTTCCTTCTCTCCTAGTTAATTGAGTAACTTTGCAGTTAAAATGTAACTAATCATAAAATAAAGACCAGTACAACTCCCTGAATTTAAACAAAACACATACATGAAAAAATAAATAATCACAAAATTTGAGTACTTTTTTTTTACTTTTGTCATTATGATCTATTGAGTTATAGCCAATTCAACAATTGTTTTGTTCACAGTCAAGTCCAGTCATGATCTGCTAGAAATCTAACTTTCATTTAAGCCTAAGGATACTCATAGTTTATTTATACTTTGTGTACATTGGATTAAGCATTGGGATTCTATTTTTCAGCCAATACACAGATATTTCAGTGTATGATTATTTTGTTTTTCTGTCTGTATTTAGGATGGATGATGCTGAGGCCTGTTTTATTCTGAGCAGCCGTTGTGAAGTGGATAGGACATCATCTGTAAGTTTCTAAATTTTCTTTCATAAATTGTGCTTCTTACCTTAGAAGATTGTTTTTTGGATTTTTTAAAAAAAATCTGCCAATGTTAAATATAGGTGACTTTAAAATATTACTAAAGGGAAGCAAATATCTCTGAACAGTCTTTGCTATGATATATGAATAGTTGCATTATGGCCTATATCAGTAAAACTGTTTTTGAAGTAGTTTCTACTAATTCTTGGGTTTTCCATTGATCAAAATGAAATGAGTCATATACAAATAGAACTGGACCATTTTTTTAATTATGTATGTCCTTTGCTATGTAATTTTGTTAAAATGGTCTCATTTTCCTCAACTAAAACAAAGCAGATGGATCAGGCAGTCTGCACTAGAATCAGTTGGAGAGCTTCTAAAAAAGTATGCATTCATGAAAATTCTATTCTAGATATATTCCAGAATCTGTGTGTTTAAAAAGATTCCCACGTGGTTGGGAAGCACATTCCAACTTGGCATCCTTTGGCTTAGATGATCTCTGTGATGTATTTTTATCAGACTTAAGTTATATAAACTCATAATTAAATTGTATAATTTACCAAATTATAACTTCTATTTTTAAACATGCATTCTAATTTTATTGTTTTTAGAAAGTACTTTATTATTTTATGTTGAGTAGATACTGTTAACTCTTGTGTTTCTAAGACAGTGAGTTTATCTCTAGCCATATCTGTGGTGCAGAGACAAAACCTTAGTGTTTCCTGTAGTGACTGAGGAAAAGGTAATATTGCATGGGTCTTTCTGGGACATGATTTGCTTTTTCCTGGAATAGTTAATAAGACCCTCTTGTTATATTAATTTAGACTATGAGTCCTGAATGTGGCAAGCTCTGTGCTCTCCTGTTTACCTCACTCTAATTTACCTAAAGTGTTTATTGATTTTTAAACCAATTTTCTCATCCTTTATTTGAAGAGGGTTGTTATCGCTTGGACTGTGTCTTCCAAAACTCATATATTGAAGTCCGACCCCCCAGTACCTCATAATGTGAACTTATTTGGGGATAAAGTCTCAATAGAGAAAATCAAATTTTAATGAGCTCTCTAAGGCGGGTCTTCATCCAATATGACTGGTATCCTTGTAAAAAGAGGAAATTTGAATACAGGTAGTTATGAGGGAGAATGCCACGTGAACATGAAGACCTCCATCTGTACGCCAAGGAGAGTGGCCTGAAACAGATCCTTCCCTCCTAGCCCTTAGAAAGAATCAACCCTGCCAACACCTTAATTTTGGATTTCTAGTCTCTAGGACCAATAGACAATAAATTTCAGTTATTTAAGCCACCCAGCTTGTGCTACTTTATCACTGCAGCCTACTAAACTAATATGAGAGCATAGAACAAATATAGTTTAGAAAATTTGTAAAATATTTCTCTTTATGAAAATATATTTATTTTTTTCTTTAGTGCTTACTTATTAATGTTGAGAGAGAGAAAGCATGAAAGGGGGAGGGGAGAGAGAGAGGGAGAGAGAATCCTAAGAAGGCTGCACTGGCAGTGCACAGCCCAATGCAGGGCTTGAACCCACAAACCATAAGATCATGACCTGAGCTGAGGTTGGGCACTTAACTGACTGAGCCACCCAGGCACCCCTACAATATATATTCTTTATATATATATTCTTTTTTTAAATGTTTTTTATTTTTGAGAGAGACAGAGAGAGATAGAGTGTGAATGGGGGAGGGGCAGAGAGAGAAGGAGACACAGAATCCAAAGCAGGATCCAGGCTCTGAACTGTCAGCACAGAGCCTGATGTGGGGCTCAAATTCGTGAACTGTGAGATCATGACCTGAGCCGAAGTTGGATGATTAATTGGCTGAGCCATGCAGGAGCCCCTCTAATGTATATTTCTAAAAATTCATCTGCTCCCCTTCTTTTCTCTGGTTATTATCTTAATTCAAACCACACCCTTCTCAGTTCGCTTAAGTATCATTGCAGAAGTTTGTTAATTAGTTTCTTAATTAGATGCTCCAAATGTATTTATAAAATAAATGAATTTGAACTGATTACATTCTCCTGTATGTTTCCATAATTAGTTAACTTTTGTAATTCTGAATCTAGTGCCCCTTAAGTGATAACTTGGTTTTAAAGTACTTGCTGCCCTCCAGTATCAATAATGGTTTGAGTATTAAAGAGGAATATAAACATTAAGAAATAAATATATAATATCTTTTGGAGTACCCTTTACAGTGTGAGTTTGGGATTTTTTAGTTAAACAAATATGTTTCATTTTTTTCTGACACTCTGCCAAATTAACAGGAAATGAATAAAAAATTACACTCATAAGGACCAAGGAGATGGTAGATGAGACAGCACTAACACAAGTTTGGAAGCTAGAAAGCAGATGGATGAGTGGTAACTGACTTAGAAGGAAGTTAAAATTTAAGTTGAGAGAGGAAACAAGTCAGAAGCAGGTTGCTTTTTGCAATGGAACTTCAAAAATCTCAGGATATAGAGGCACCAGATGCTTCTGTAAGTAAGGTTATATGTAGGACTAAACATATGAATAGTGATTAAAAGTCTGTAAGAGAAGCAGTTAGTTTCCCTGAATCCCTTCAGAAACCCATTGCTGATCCCTTTCCCCACCCCGGGGAACAGGTTTAATATTGGCAGAGTTTGACCCAGGGATACCCTTCACTCAGAACCAGAAGGTGCAACTAAGAGTCAGGGTTAAGTCAAAGGTATTAAAGAGTAAGTCGTTTCATTGAATGTGAGGTGCTTCTCCCAAGTGACTCAGAATCCTAATAGCCATGTCCACCCCTCCACTGGAACAAGATTGGAGTAGTTTTCTGTAGGGAAATGATCCATCACAAGATAGAATGCTGTGTGAAATAAGATTCCTACATTCAGTCAAGTCTCAAACAGCTTTTGAGTGTTTCACTTCTGCATATGTTCAGAGTACAGAGATCAATAGATGTTTAACAAAATTCCTGACAAGGGAAAGAAAGAGCAGTGAACAAACATAAAAAAACATTAAAAACAAAGAACTCAGAGGAAACAAACAAAACTATACAATTCTAGGAGAGGAAGTAGATTTTAAAATGTATAACAGCTATTCCAATGGTAATATGAGAAGTTGCAAAGAGTGTACATACATAAAGCAAGAATAGTAGGCTGTAGAATAAACAATTGAAGACAAAACAGGAAACATTTCATGAACCAGAAAGAGCTCCTGGAAATTAAAAATAGGGTAACTCATGAAAAATTGTATAAAAGGTTCAGGAGAAAAGCAAGAGGGGAGGAAACAGGGCAAAATACTGTCTCTACTATTGGAGAGACTCACAGTCAAATTCAGAGAATAGTAATTTCCCAGAGCAGAGACTCATAAGTGGAAATCAACCTGGGAACCAGTGTGCGGGCAGGAAAACCTCAACTGCATTTGATGAATTTCTGGAGGTTCAGTGCAGATAACACTGAGAGTTAAAAACCCCTGGGGAATGTAGTCATGGGGAAGGGGTCTCTTAATTTTGTGAGATTCACCTCCAGGAGCTTGACCAGGTTCTCACAGTAAATATGAGAGAAAAATCCCCTTGGGAGCAAGGGTCAGGGAAGAGGAAACATTTTGAAATACACCAGAGCATTCTGTTCTGCTTAACAGTCCCTGCCCTCAGGGAAACTAGTTAACCAGACCTTAACCTGCTGGAAACATAGTTATCGGAGCCCAGGTGATCTGGGGGAAGGATAACACACAATTCCAGACTACTGTGGCCATCCTCTTTCACATAAGGGGGACCAGGACACTGAAAAAAACATTTGCGAAGGTCACAGTCTAGAGATATTGGCTCATAAAGACTGATGCTAACTCAGGACTTAGAACGCTTCGCCTTACCCCATGGCTCACTCCCTCATTTCTAAAGATCTATTTATAGCAGCTCCTTTAACTTGGTGTGTAATGACTGGCTATCAAGAAAAAATTATAAGGCATACCAGAAGGCAAAAACAAAACAAAACAAAACAATTTGAAGAGACAGAGCAAGTATCAGAACAGACATGGCATGGATGTTGAACTTAGACCAGTAGTTTAAAACAACTGATTGATATGCCAGGGTCTCTCATAGATAAAATAGACAGCATGCAATGACAGATACATAGTGTCAGCTGAGCTAGAAAGAAACCTTAAGAAATAACCAAAAAGAAATGCTAGAGATAAAAACACTAACAGAAATGAAGAATACTTTTGATGGGCTTATTAGTGGACTGGACATGGCTAAGGAAATAATCTTGGAACTTGAGGATAAATCAACAGAAACCTGCAAAAGTAAAAAGCAAAGAGAACAAAGACTGGACAAAAACAGAACAGAATGTCCAAGGACTCTGGGACAATTACAAAAGGTGTTACATAGATGTAATGGGAATACTAGAAAGAGATGAAAGAAGGGGATAGAAGAAATACTTGAAAGCATAGTAACTGAGGATTTCCCCAAATTAATATCAGACACAAACCACAGATCCAGGAAGCTCAGAGAGCACCTAGAAGAAAAAATGTCAAATAAATACACCTAGAAATATCATTTTCAAATGATAGAAAATCAAAGATAAAGTACTGAAAGAAGTTGGGCGTGGGGGTGGGGGAAACACCCTAATTATAGAGGAGCAAAGATAGGAATTTCATCTGACTTATCTTCAGAAACCATGCATGCAAGAGGAGATAATAATAAAATATGTAATGTATTGGGAGAAAATACAGAAGGGAAGTCAATGTCAGAGTTTCGGGCATCTTGAACCAAGGGACAAGGAGAAGGGACCGGGTCCCGGTAATTGAATGGAGTTTTATGTCTTGACAGACGGCAAAGAAGAAAAAAACCAATATCCATGAGTGGCACTAAGTATACAGTATTTCTGCTCCTTTGGCAAAGACTGGAGGGTCTCACAACTATGCTGTATTTTCTGTATGGGGTCTCATGGATTTATCTTCAGGTCTTAGAGAAACAGCCTTTCAGGACTTAATTACAAAATGGACAGTAGGCTGTTC